GCACTGGGTGTTATATGCAAACAATTAATCATGGAACACTACATCAAAAACTAATGATGTAATGTATGGTGATTAACATAATAAAGATTTAAAAATAAATAAATAAATTAGCTCATAGAGCCTATTAATAAGATAACAAAAAAAGTGAAGTGTTTTATACTAACTCACATTATATCGTAGACATATGTTAAAAGAGTAATCTTTAAATAAATGATTGAAAAACATAATTTTAAATATACATTTAAATATTAGAAACAAAATCAATATTTTAGCTACTTGGCCAAATGAACAAAAATAGCTTTGGGTGCACTCTCTCGAGCCTAAAATAGAGAGTCCATTACCCTGAGACTATAAAAGGAAGCTGGGTAGCATACAGCCTCACTGATGCACCAGAAGTCTGAAAGGAAAGCTGTTTCCTTTACAACATTGTACTTTGTGGTCTATTTGAGGCACTTGTATTGATCATTTAATTCTGGAAAGTATAATAATGTTCCTTTAGATATAGGATTCATATTTTATTTGGAATACAAATTAAGATCAGAGTACTTCGAAAGATGTGCTGCATAATGCTCCACCCTAGCGTGAGTACCCTGAAAGAATTCTGCACTCCTCAGCGATCACATCTTACCCTGGCATAACAATTTTATTTTTTATTTTATTTTTTTTAATTTATTTTATTTTTTTTAATAATTTTTTTATTGTTATGTTAACCACCATACATTACATCATTAGTTTTTGATGCAGTTTATTTTTATTTTTTTTAAAGATTTTATTTATTTATTTGACAGAGAGAAAGCACAAGTAGGCAGAAGGGCAGGCAGAGGGAGAGGGAAAAGCAGGCTCCCTGCTGAGCAGGGAGCCCCATGCGGGGCTCAATTCCAGGACCCTGGGATCATGACCTGAGCCGAAGGCAGAAGCTTAACTGACTGAGCCACCCAGGCGCCACGCCACCCCTACCCAGGCGCCACCCCCACCCCCGCTCTTTTTTTTTTTTTTTTAAGAATTTTAAATATGCCATTATGGGGACTAATATTCCGTACTTCCTCCTCCCTAACGCCGAGTTCCAGTGTCCTCCAACGATGGTCTCAGCTCAAACCTATTTTTGTCATCACCTTTCCCAAGCACTTACTACCGGAACCCTGAGGTATGATGGGCTGTCTCTATGTTGATCTTTCTAGCAAGTTCCTTGGTGTAGAATCGTCTTAATCACATTCACCTCCCTCCTCTCTCCCTTCTCTCCTTCCCTCCACCCCTCATTTTAACATTGTTCCTGGACACGGTAATTTCAAATAAATATTTCTTAAATGGAGAGGAAAAGAATTCTTTTTTAATATATTTCAATGTATGAATGAATGCCTCTGAGGCTTTCACTCCTTTTTCTTGACGTCATAAACATTTCTCTCTTTTTTAAATAGATCCTATTCCAATCTATGCTCCATTTTTGTCCCCCAATTTCCTCCAGCCTATTTCTTTTTCCATTTTTACCACCTCATACGTTAACTCAATTACACTTCTACTCCATTTAAAAATAGAGATCCCCAGTAATTTCACCTCTGTGAGACTCTTAATTCCCCCAGGAAAGCCTTCTCTGCATCAGCCCCCAGCCCCTGCCATCAAATCCTTGCTGTCATCACCCTTAACGTCCCGCATTCTCCTTTCCTCACAATGGATTTCCGTCTGTTTCTTTAAATGTATGGTTATTTCAATAATACTGCTTCCCCACAAAGCCATCGGCTCGTGTAGAGGCTGAGAATATGTGATTCTGCTATCATTTCTACCTCCTATCACACACAGGAAGAGCTCTAATGCCCAGGGCAGGGCAAGTGCCTATGGGAAATAAAAAGTAATATGGATGAATGTTGAAACAGTTTACATAGATATCCTGTGATTTTTCTCAGTAGATACGAACATAAATCAGTTTTTTCTCTTTGTGCAAAAGTCACTGGGCAAGGAAATCTATAAGTGGAAGGAATGTAATTACAAGGAGTTTGGAGATACTACCTTCTTGGAAATAAAAATGACAGTGAACGAGACTGGAATGAGATCTGTGGTATCATTATGTTTTGCTGTTTCTTCCTTATGCTATCTTAGAGAAAGAAAGCTTGGAAAAGAGGAGGTTTGGAATAAAAGAAGAATTAAAGAAGTTTTGATGTCAGGTTACAATGCTTCATGAAGCTCAGAGAAATGGCAGCTACGGGGCTTTTTGCAAGAAAGGGTTTTGGTATTCAGTGAGAGTCAAGTTGAGATATATATAAAAGATTTGACATTCCGGCTGTTATTCTTTTGTTGTTACTATGGAAAATTTCAAAAATATGCAAAAAAGTATAGAGGACAGTGTAACAAACCACCATGTGCCATATCCCTTAGCGTAAACAAGGATTGACTCAAGGCTAATCTTCTTTTATCAAGATGAATTTTGAAAAAAAGCATTGAACCCTGAGTAGCTATTTCTCTGTGGCACCTGAAGTTCTACCTTACAGGAATCAGGGAGGGTTATTTTAATTGTGCTGAAGACAACTATCCTCTGCCTCTTTTGCTCTTCAAATATTACCTCTGAATGTTTTGTCTGTGATTTTATAAACTTTAATATCTGAAATTTGAGTTTTTCAGTTGCTTATTCTAATATGCTCAAACATTTTTAAAGAATATATACTTTAGTCCTAAAAAACCCTTTCTGTCCTTAGACTGTGTATATTTTTCAGTACTAGGATATATTAAAATAGATTAAACATATTGGTTTTAGCTAAGATACTTTAACTTTAATTAAAATTCATTAATGGGTTATTATAGATAATGATTGTCACTTGAGGATAGATCGTCACTTGAGGATAATGAATCTTTACAAAATACTTACCGATATTAGCATAATGTTTCTTTTCTTGTGCGTTAGTAGATAGCTCATACATGTCTCCGTAAGCACGAGCTAACCGCCAAATAAACTCTATTTCATCTCTAAACTGAAAAGAAAAGATAGAACTATATATTAGATTAACTCAGCAACTTGACCAGACTATAAATGTTTTCCACTGCAACTTTTAAAAAATTAGGCAGGTGAACTGGTATTTATGGATGACTGAATCTATTAATGCGCATACATTTTAAATTCAAATATTCGTGGCTACAAAATGTGATTTAATATAGTGTTACATTTAGATCTTAAAACTAAGGAGTGTTACCCAGACATTAGCTCTACACCAACATAGAAGAGAGAACCGATAGGTGCCAGAATCTGTGAGTTTTCCCTGGATTATAGTATCCTCTTTTTATTTTCCTTTCTAAGTTACCTACCTTCATTATAATGCCTCAGCGAGTATTACAGATCACATACACTCAAAAGGGCAGTCACATTTTTTACCTACAAATACAATCATAATCCTT